TCATACATTTCCCCTTAGTCATTAGGATTCACAAGTTTCAGTCAATACAGTTGCTCGTTTATAAAAAATTCTAGGTGTGCCCAACTGCTAAGTAATACAGACCAGGTCACTTTATTAGAAAACAACTCTTTGCTCTGCCGCAGCTATGCAATATTTCTTTTAGCCTGAATTGTGCAATATCTACCACCTGGCATAATGAATATTCAACATGACACAGAAAATGTCTATTATCACAACTTAAAAATGTAGCCAAAGTAGCAAAAACATTTCATCTTAAGTGATTCAGAGTTTCAATCTATACACAAATTGTCTGCTGTCTGCTATGTGCAGCACAAAATTATTGCCAGAAATCCAAACACTGGAATATGTTAAATCACTGTTATTCAGATAGACATTTTCTAAAGTCCGACAAGAAATTGGGTTATCTAATGGTTTATGGACAATTAAATGCCAGGTTATATTGAATAACTATGTTTAATAGTTAAAAAGAGCCAAATTATGTTTAATAAATTCACTAAAGAAAGACAAATTTTTGTATCTGGAAGAGAACTAGATGTAGTAGATCTCAATATATACCTTGGCCAACAGAACTCAATGGAAGATGATGCAATAAAGGAAATTGAATGATGTATTCAATGTGGTTGGCATGCATTCAGCAAATTAAGCATAAGTGGATAGACAATGGTTAAAATGATGATGATGATGATGATGATGATGATGATGATGATGATGATAAAATGCTGTCTTGGTGTCCCAAAGGATATAGGCCACTTCTTATAGATATAGGCTCCTAACCATTCTAGAGGTGGGTAGTGGTTTTTGTACCCTGTTCCTGGACAAAGGCAGAGGAAAACTGGCTATCATATTGGACTGTCAAGGAAGGAGAATACAGGTGATACAGGCAATCCTTCTTTAGTTACTACCTTGGACAGTGAGCGTTTGTAATTACAATGATGATGAAAAAGGAACTCCATAACCAATTCCTGCATTTATGACATTCATCTATGAAACAAAAGAAAAGCTTTCACAAGCATTTTTCACTTCCTAAACATCCTAAACAACTGAGTTGCCAGGCCCAATTGTGGTCACTAAACAAGGTCTATACATAATTCAAAATGACTCAAAATGCAATGCCTCTCTGTTGTTCCATTTCTTTCTTGGACATTGGTCCCTTTAGTTTCAACCACTGTGACTTTCACTGGCTTGAAATTTGAAGAAGCTGAATAAGATGTTTATGCATGTATGTATTTGTCAGCTGGTCCAGTTTCTATCACATTGATCCGTTTGAGGGGTATATATTTGCAATCAGGGATGTCTGCAGGTCATGTAACAAAAATCAGGAAGGTGGTGGCTACAACAGCAAGACTGAAGGCCCACTTTTTTTAAACGTGCATTGTAACCCACCTCCCTGTGTTCAACTTTGCTTATAACAGTGTAGAATTGTGTGCGGTGTATTGTTATGTTTGCAACACATAGAATTCTATTTTTGCCAAAAGAAAATTTTGTTCAATCACTTTTCCACACACCTGGACAACTTTGTTTCATTCAAAGAGTAATATGCAATTACTTTGAAAACAATATTCCTGCTATAGATTTTGTGCTTCAGTATAACGATAGAATTTCTTTTTTCTTGCCTTTCCATTTTTTTAAACACAACATGCCAAAAATAGATACAATTCTGAGGTATAAAAATACATTTTGCTTTATTTTCTGCTGTTTCTTATGGCACTATGAATAGGTTAGGTAAACCAGCTCACAGGAGATCAGAAACTCTTGGCTGGAGGCACATAGTATGTGAAATTCTTGAACCAGATTAAAGGAATACAACTGCTATGTTCACCTAGCATGTTATACCTAAATGAACGAAGTGTATTATGGATGAAGATACTACAATACCTTGGATCACACAGTTGACATACACAGTATAATAGATGATAATGAAATGTCCCGTGACTTACTAAAGCCACAAGGAGGCACTGTTCTGCTAGAATGTATACAAAGAAACTGGAAGACAGGTGGAACATTATTTTACAAATTTGTTTGTCCAAGTTAGCATTTATTCAGGATTTACTGACTGTATCTGTTATTAATTGCAGCATAAAAATGCTTAATCTACCACCCATGAAACATGCTAAAAGAATAACTGACCTTCCATAATATAGTGAGTCACAAATCACCCAAAGCCATGTTTTATTCAGACATGAGATGTGAACCTGAGTCTAGAAGTCTTTATAAAGAGGCTACTTAGTTCTGGCAACTCAGTAGGGGCTGACTTTCCAAAAGATGGGTGAACAATTTTCTATTGTTCTGCAAGATTAATGGAAATAGTGTGGAAAAACTTATTCATGCACACTGGCAGAAGAGCCATCAAATCTGACAGTTTTTATTCCAATTAACTATATGTATTTAGCCCAGCTAAATGATACTGAATTTGAAGGTAGGAATGAAAAAAAAGAAGGCTTGGAAGCAATTATTTGCTTCAACAATATATAGAATCTGTTAATCTGCAATAGCAGTAGCACTTAGACTTATATACCACTTTACAGTGCTTTACAACCCTCTCTGAACAGTTTACAGAATCAGCATATTGCTGCCAACAATCTGGGTCCTCATTTTTCCCACCTCGGAAGGATGGAAGGCTGAGTCAACCTTGAGCCTGGTGAGATTTGAATGCCAAATTGCAGGCAGCTGGCAGCCAGCAGTTAGCAGAAGTAGCCTGCAGTCTACTTGCACTCTAACCACTGCACCCCCGTGGCAAATAAAAACAAAATGGATTAACACAAATGGGTATATGCTTCCTCAGAAGGTCCTTATTGGCTTGAAAAACAGTTACTGTTTTGAACAAACCCAGCAACGCCATTGAAAGTATAATCTACTGTGGGTCAAAAGGTCAGACTATCTTAAGCAGCAACAGATAGTCAGCATCACTCACATAGTGATAGATATAAACTTAGCCACTGGCCATGATACTGGGAAGTGCTCCCGAAACATTTGAGTGCAAAACATAAGTATATTTAACAGTCTGTTAAAGGACCCACATGAGAGGAAAGGAATGAATGCCATGATGAATATTTGGCCATTGCAAACCATTTTTTAAAAATGAAATTTTTCTTGCTTAAAACTTACAGCTTGTGTTTTACTGGAAATTGAATCTAAACTGCAAGTTGTACCTTGTTGCTTTCAATTTTAATTCTAGCATAGCTTTTGTGTAAATTTTCTGTAAAGGAATATACTATTGGAAAGAAAATCCATCTGGTTCAGTTCCAAGCTGGGAGAAAGACACTGGAAACATGGAGGCTGATTAGAAAGAAAAGTTTATTGATGAAGCAGAACCACCAACCATATGTGATTCTGGGCAGCTGACTAAATGGTTGAATGAGTGGATGGATCTTTATAGGTTTCTGTAACTTTGAAGCTTGAACTGTTCTGAGGGTGGTGCAATGAAGGAGCTTGTGTTCTGAAAGGGTTTGTGGCAATTCCTATTGTGGCTAATGATTTTCGTCCTGTATTGGATCTTGAGTGAGGGGCTGCTTTCTAATCCTACCATTCTGCCAAGGAGTTTCAAAATATCCTGTATTGAATGGATTTCTGCCTGCAGTATTTGCTTTAAATCTAGATACTTGTCTTACTCTTTCAAAAAGTTCTTTATCTCTTAAGTGCTGGCATCTGCTGTGGGCTATTAGACTTGGAGGCTGCTTTTTGTCTTTAAGAGCATGTTTCTCCATTTCTCCATTTGGCAAATATATTCTGCCTTTTTAATATTTCCCAAAATATTTCATTCTTCTAGGAGGGGTGGGAAGCAAAATACTTTCAAGTTTCTCTGCCACTGAGTAGCCATACAAAAATGTCATGAATGCAAAGTAAACTATATAGATTACACTTGCTTGTATTTATATATGTCCAGAAATATGTAATATATTCCATTAGATTTGAGTCATAGGAAAAAAGGAAGATGTGATTTGCATTCATCTCCTATTCCTTCACCATGTTGAGACATATTACCATCGTGAAATATTTTAGATCTTTGTCATCCAATTCTTGAACACAAAATTTTAGAACAGAACAGTTCCTAAAAAGGAGTTGCTGCAGCATTTCTTTTTGTTTTGTTTTTAGCTTTTAAAAATAGAAAAATTATAGAAACAGGAAAGACATGAAAGTGGGTGCAATTACTATCAAGGAAAACAAACTGTATACTACAATACTTATGATAAGATTACTATAATTGAGAAACTTTCTTTACTATCTTACTTAAAAACATATGCTTTATAATAGTATAATAGTATGCTTTGCTACTATTTTGGCTTGGAGTCTTTTTTTTTCAGTCAGTATAATGTTATAATTTCTGTAGTATAATTGTAAGCATTAATCTAGAGAAAGAATGCGCTCCAAAGAGTACAAAAAGCTAACAACTTCGGTTTCATTATACTGCCTTTTTATTTTTATTGTGCTTATTATAGTTTCAATCAGTTTTATTATTTAAGAGATTATTAAGAAGTGCAAAAAGACTCATTCATAAGCTAAATAGAAACCAAGAGAGAATGCCATCTAAGTGACACATCTTAACTTTTCTCCTCCATATATTCCATACCTAAATCATAACTGCCCTACTAAAGTCATCTAAGTCCAGTCAGAGCTGACACCTAGTGCCTAATTCTTTCTTGCCTGCCTTCCATAACCTAGTTTAACAGGACAGTTGGATGAAAATCAGAGATAACCACAGGCAGCAGATAAAGCATGAGCAAATGACAGTGCTGATAAATGCAGCTCCAGCCACGGTAATCAAATTCATTATTCTCCATTGTCACCATGGCACAAAAGTTCTTTGCACAGCATTTCCAATATTTATAGTGCTTCCAAGGTCTTGTTTGTTAGTTTTATTACATGTGCATCACATATTTTTTTACAGGAGCTCAAGGCATCATAAATAGTTCTCCCTCCTCCTATTATTCACAACAACAGGTTTGGTTAAGTAAAAAACAGAGGGATAGCATCGAGATTACAAGAAGTGGTAGTAACTGCTGCATGCTGCACTGGTGAGGTCACATCTGGAATACTGCATCCAGTTCCAGTCACCATGATACAAAAAAGATCCTGAAGTCCTAGAAAGGGTGCAGACAAGAGCAACCTAATGATAAGAGATCTGAAGTTTAAATTATACAATAAATAGTAGGCAAGTTTAGAATATTGAAGAGGAGGCTCAGGGGAGACATGATAGCAGTCTTCCAATATTTGAATGGCTGCTACGTGGAAAATATATTGATTTATTCTCCATAGCACTGAGAGTAGGACAAGAAGCAATGGATGGAAGGTTGTCAGATGGAGATCAACCTGGAAATAAAAAATTTCCTGAAAGTGACAACAATTAGTCAATGGAACAACTTCTAATTGCACAGGAGCTTGCTCTTCCAGAGACCATCATTTGTGAACTGTCCTTAAATACCACTATCTGCCTCTTACTATGCTACGGAGCCCCTGATTGTGACATAGTTCATGCAAACAAACTAACTTCACTGCTGACGTGGGCTGCCTCTTGTCCACACCTTCTTATTTTGCTTGGTGACCTTAATCTACCTCTTATAAACTGGACCCTAAATGAATGTACATCTGAACCCATACATACAACCCTCTACAATTCTGTTACCACACTGGGACTTGATCAATTAGTTACAAACAACACTAGACTCAACAACTGCCCCAACCTCATCTTCTGCAACAGCTAAAACTCAATTTATGGCCTACAAATACAAGAAACCTTTTCAAACAGTGACCACAGTATGACTGACTTTTGTCTCAATTTATGCCCTCACAAAGAAAATCATAATGATGGATCTCCAAAATACAATTTCAAAAAAGCCAACTATGATCTCATAGATGCTGACCTATCATATCTTGATTGGCACATTCTGTTCTCTGACTATAATACTACAGAAGATCATTATAATACATTCTTACTTGAACTTCAAAGTGTCATTAAACTATATGTACCATTAGTAACCCCTAAAAACAAAACAAAAAAATTACCCATAACAATAAGGAAACTTCAATTTAAAAAAATCACTATGTAGCAAACTTTAAAAACCAATACATCTTATGCCAACAGATAAAGGCAGAATGCACAAATTATTACTGCAAGCAGGAGGAAAACCTCCTACATACAAAATCTACCCACACCTTCTACAATTTTGTAAACTCCAAACTTAAAGACTCAAGAACTATCCCACCTCTAAAGGGACCAAATGGGAAATACTGCAGCGACGAAGCTGTTAAGGCCAACCTCTTCAACACATTCTTCAGTTCAGTCTTTGTAAACAGCAATGGCTCATGCCCCACGTTTCCTAGTCATATCACAACTAACTGCAATGATCTACTACATATTGACTTTACAGAAGATAATGTAGAAAAGGCACTACAAAACCTAAAACCATCCCTATCTTTTGGCCCCAATGGATTATGTGCATACTTCTAAAAAAAGCTCTCCTCTGCCATAGTGGAACCTTTAAGCATTATATATGATATATCATTAAAACCAGCTCCTTACCAAATCTATGGTCCTTAGCTACAGTCAATCCTATCTTCAAAAAAAGTGAACCTAGCCTGGTTGAAAACTACAGACCAATCTCAGTGTGTTGTGTTACATGCAAAGGCATGGAATCAATCATTAACCAATTCATTACCCTCCACTTAGAGTCAAACAACCTACTCTCCCAAAAACAATTTGGTTTCAGGAAAAAATTGTCCAGCAACCTACAACTCCAACACTGCAAAAACATATGGATTACTCTACTTGACCAAGGTAGAGCAATAGACGCAATTTACATAGACTTCTGCAAAGCCTTTGATTCAGTGGTACATGACAAACTACTGTTAAAACTAAACTCTTATGGCAGGATCCCTTCATAAATGGATTATTGCATTCCTGTCAAACAGGCAACAAATAGTAAAAATAGGGAGCATGATATTAAACCCTTCTCAAGTCAACAGTGGTGTCCCCCAAGGCAAAGTTTAGGACCCACACTTTATATAAATGATCTTTGCAATCACCTTATTAGCAACTGCATCCTCTTCGCGGATGATGTAAAGCTATTCAACACCACCGACAATACTATTGTTCTTCAAAGTGACCTTGATTTTGTGTTTCAATGGTCAAACATTTGACAACTCCAAATCTCGACCAACAAATGCTCTGTCCTACATATTGGTAAAAAAATCAATTCACCAAATACAAAACTAGGCGGATATGACATCGTTGGTGACTCTGTCAAGGATCTCAAGAGTACTCATATCAAATGATCTAAGTGTTAGAGCTCACTGTAACAGCATTGCCAAAAAGGCATTAAGAGTTGTAAATCTAATCTTATGAAGCTTCTCCTCCGGAAATATTGAATTGCTAACGAGGGAATACAAAACCTTTGCTAGACCAATACTCGAATCTGTCTGGAATCTGCACTGTATATCAGACATTAATACAATTGAGCGAGTCCAGAAGTATTTCGCAAGAAGAGTACTACACTCCTCTGCTCGCAACAGAATACCCTATACCACCAGGCTTGAAATTTTGTGATTGGATAATCTTGAACTACATGGCCTACGGTTGGACTTAAGCGTAGTACACAAAATTATCCTCTACAATATCCTACGAGTCAATGACTACTTCAGCTTCAACCACAACAATACAAGAGCACACAACAGATACAAACTCAATGTTAACCACTCCAAACTTGATTGCAGAAAGTATGACTTCAGCAACAGAGTGGTCAATGCCTGGAACCCACTACCCGATTCTGTTGTTACATCCTCAAACTCCCACTCCTTCAACCTCAAACTATCCACTATTGACCTCACCCCATTCCTAAGAGGTCTGTAAGGGGCATGCATAAGTGCTCCATTGTGCCTCCCATCCTTGTCCTGTTGTCCCCATTTATTTGTACCTATTTCCTGTATTCTTATTCATGTTTATACTTATACCTCTTATCTTGTAAGCGACTGACAAATCAAATAAATAAATAAAATAAATAAATAAACTTGCCTCCTGGGATTATGGGTGATCCATCACTTGAGGTTTTTCAAGAAAAGATTGGACAGCTATTTGTATGGGATGAATAGAGACTCCTGCCCTGGGCAGGGGTTGAACTAGACCTTTGAGGTCCCTTCCAGCCCTATGATTCTATAAGAGATTGGTCTCCAATCAAATTTCCATGACTAGGGATTGATTAGAAGCTGGGTTTTCCTGTTCCTAGTACATCACTTTCACCACTATAAAACAGTGACTGAGGGACACTTCCAGAGGTTTGAGTCCAAATCCTAATGGATATGCTCCTGATACATATGCTGAAAATAAGGGCCAGAGGCAGATGTAGTATTCAACAGGTTCTGACCAGTTCTGGAGAACCAGTAGCAGAAATTTTGAGTAGTTTGGAGAACTGGCAAATACCACCTCTGACTGGCCCCGCCCCCATCTATTCATTGCCTCCCAGCTGATTGGCTGGGTCTTCTTTTGTTACCTGCACAGAAGAATGGAGCTGGAAAGCATATTAGCAGGGTGGGGAAAAAAATGGGCATTTTGCAGTAACCTTCCCCCAAGAGTGGGGAGGGAATGAAGATTTTACAGTATCCTTCCCTTGCCATGTCCACCAAGCCACGCCCTCTAAGCCCTAAGGTTGAAGAAGGTAGATTCTATAACAAAGCATTGCAAAGAAAAATGGTAGACCATTGACAAGATAACATTTAATAGAGTTTTTATAAATTTTAGTCTTTTGCTTTTGTCTGTAAATCACCTTTGAAAGAAAGATGGAAACACTGTTTATAAATATTGCTGTGTGCAGAATGCTATGTGCTAAAGGGATAGAAACGATGACCTGAATAAAGAAAATGGTTATAACTTCAATCTGAGTTACAAATATATCCCATATACTATTCAAATAATCATTGTTATAAATATTGAACATACTGATATTACAGTATCTATCATAGCCCAATTTATGAATATTATATCAGTGAATTCCAGCTCTCTGTCTCCTTACTATGCACTTGTGTATTGTGTAACAGACATAATTGCACTACTTATATTAGTTGGAAGTAAGTCCAACAGGGTTTAATGATCTTCAGGTAATAATTTTGCTCATGGAAAAGACTCATAGTACACTAGCAATGAGTCATGCGTGGTCCATTAGCATGAAAAGTACCATAGCTTATATCTCTTGTGAACGTATTTAAATATCACATTCGGCTAGCTGGGGCTTGTTAGCAGACTGCGAGAGACTATCTCAGTTTATATTTATTGAATCATTACATGTAGACAGCCAATAGTAGTAAAACAAAGCCATTTCTGTTTATCTATGTATAAGACTAATATTTTCCTCTTTTGTTTGGGCTAATAATGTTTTGCTGACTCTGTATTAGAACACTGGATTAAAATAAGTAGTGTATTCAAGAACTTTAAAACTTCATTATTATTAGAAATTCCAGTGAATGCAAAAAATATGAAAAGGCTGAATAAAACATAGCTATAGAAATGCACACAAATAATAGAGAGATAAAATGTAAATGAACTGCTTGGTTTCACAGGATATTCCAAATCTCATAATAAATCAATTAAACTTTGATAACAAAGCAAGCTTATTTATAAGCTGTTTCCTTTTATTTTATAAAATGATAGCTATGATGATTTACTCCAGTGGTGAATATTATTAAATACTTCCAGGTACAGAAAAAAAATGAAAAAAACTGTTTTAAACCATTAGCTGTTTCACTGTCAATAATTACTTTTTAAACTCCTCCTTCTGGTATTGTGGTAGATAGATAGATAGATAGATAGATAGATAGATAGATAGATAGATAGATAGATAGATAGATAGATA